ATGTTCCAATACATGAAGATCAGTTATATCAATGCATGCAGACACTTACGGTACAGGCATTTGTCATTTAACACTCTTTCATTACAATGTTTGCTTCCAGTTAGTGATGGTGAGTTTTGTCAAAAGGCTCAAATTCATCATACAGGTGGTCAGGGAGAGATTCATTAGTGCCAAAGTTCAGCAATGACATATTGCCTACCTTAAATATTAGTTGCAGTTTTTTCCATATCTTTGTCTGCTTAAAACATCATGTCTTCCATCTTGTAATTATTTTTGACTAACAAAAGCAACAAGTCAAGAGACTAGCTACCAGTGCTGAAACATATTCATAATTTTGAAGCTCAAACAGAATGTCCTGACACAAACTGAAGCATCTGTTTTGAAGTCAAAAGTAACAACAACCCATTTACATACATCTTGATTTCATTCATCTGGGATGGGTGATGGGAGACCATATTAATGAATTACATTTATATTTATTCATATGAGCAAATTTGTTTTCTTTAACACCATCAGAAGCTGCATGTGAAGGCTGCCTGTAACATGGCAAGTCAAAGTTACTCCATAAAACATATTTTTGTTTAAAGAAGAAAAGTGAGCCTAATGAATCCTTCTGCTTGATACAGTGTACTTGATTTTGAAAATATCTTACACTGTTGGAGGAAGAATGAGTTTCAAAGTAGGAGAGAAAAAACATGATACTAATAAAATATTATTGTTACTGACAAGTAGCTCATACATGGACAGCAATGCCACCTGGTACCTGATTTCAGTGATAAAATTTCTTTTGCAGGAGATCTAAAATGTCAGTAGACACAGAAAGAGAAATTATCTAAAATTTATGGGAAAGGGTAAAAGTCAAGTAATTGGTTCTTATGAGTCTTACAATTAAAATTGCTATTATATATTAAGCTACTTAAGGGTCACATACACAATGATTCAAATGGTGGCAGGGATATGTTTTATAAGACATGCACTTGTCACAGCGAAGTATACATACTCTGATACATGTTCTGGTTTAAACACCTAGGTATCATGATATGCCATTATATACAGGATACTTAAGCATGCATTGCAACCATCTGACACTGAAACATGTCTCTTGATACATATATGCACAAGCAACCTGCATTATGATATATGTATCACTATGCACATCAATGTGTATGGGGACCTTTGCTCACACATCAAAATAAATGAGATCCTACACAAGAAACAACTGAAACGTTGAAAAATTGTGGGGAAATGAAACTGATCATAGCATTCTGAGACCAATTAAAAATATGAATCATTAACTTATTACTTAATTCAACAGCTTTAATATGAAGAAGTTAAATTTTAGTCTTGTCCAAAACATTAAAATGTTTCTCTCAAACCAGTATGGTGCTACAACTATAAGATTTATTTCTTGAAAAATTTGTGTGTATGCTTTAAGTCACTTCATCACCATTCCTCATGAAAGAAAAGATATCAGCTACTCATTTTCTTTGTACAAATATGTTTTGAAAAATTAGTTTGCAAGGTTATTGTCAAGTCTAATTTCCATCATATTACAATAAAACAAGCCTTGTGAGATTTCGGGTTCTCACAGCAATGACTATGGAGAGTGCTGCCTACTGGAATGTGACACTGCATAGTCTGGCAAAGATTACTGACATTTCAGAGGAACATGCTGCCTTCATTTTCATTTATTCTGTTTGCTTGGCCTATTCTCCAAATCTGGAGATGGAGGTAGCATGTTCCTCTGAAACATCAGTAGTCTTTGGCCGACTACCTAGCAACACATATAGAAATAAGTCTAATCTGGCATAAATGTTCTGAAACTTTCAAATCACTACAATTTGTATGTTGTAAAAAATCTACCCAGTGCTTGAAGTGGCAGGAAGTAAATTGTGGTTTACAAAATGCTAACATTCAGCAAATGGCTGAATAATTTATTAAATTCCTTAACTTAAAAATGAAGCGTAAAATGCCAGGTGGGCTGAAGTAAAACTTCAGAACTTTAGAAAAGATGAATATTTTACTGTCTGATAAGCTTTCTGCTGTGATGGCTGGGGCTACAAGCTGCAGAAGACTGGAGTTCATAAAATCACTATCGCTATATGTTGCACGATGTTGCATTTATTGTCCATAATTTTACTACAGCAAGAAGAAACAAAATATAGAATTCTTCGGCATAGCCCTAGGGACTGCTGTAGTTCCAATATGTTTTGGATCCTGGTAAGAGTTTTGAAATGGGTTTCAGTGTGGTGACAAGTTGCATAATCTTCAAAGTGACAATGTGCCTTGGATCACTTTCCCATAACTGAGACATACATGCCATTTTGCATTGCTATATGCAGCTGTCTGCTGGCAGTAAAAGCAAACGTTTATGTTTGCAATCACTGGAAATATGAATGTTCCATACCTAATAGTTTCATATTTGCCACAGCAATGTTTCCCTCTTAATAGTTTTAAATTAACAGAAGCTGCATTAATTGAAAACATACTAAACTCACTTCAAGCATATAATTTACTCTCTGTCTAATGAACTGAACCTAAGTAACATTACAGCAATAAGATCAAAATTATAAAAAATATAGTTACCTGGAGGAATGTCCACTTTCTGGAGCTCAATATTGTGAGAATTTGTTGATGTAATATATATGTTGGGCATTTATATACACACACTCAAATTTAAAATATATCTGCATGATTAACAATGCTCTTGCTGTCAAATATAAAGGGGAAGAGTCCTAAGAGACATGACAAATTGTTAAGATCTTTGTGATTTTTTTCTCAAATCTCAAAATGCTACGTGCAAGCTGTAACACTTCAGTAGCTATTCTACTCTCAGTAACATACCGGGTATAATCACCTGATATATATCCTTCATTCAACATATTTTTCAATTTTTTTGTCCACTGAAATCTAGAAATGTACTTTCTCATGTAATTACTGTATACAGTTCTATAGTTTCAAGAACTATTGTAAATAAATTGATAGTTCCACAAGTCCTGGTACGACACTGCACAGCAATTCATTTTCATATTAAACCATGTCAAGACGAAAACTCTTGAATTCAGAAATTTCAGTTATGATATATCTTAAAAGTATTGATTTAAGTAATTCCTTGCACCGTTTGCCCCCCATTGAGCATGAAAAATATAAACTGGTGGACATACTTTCTGTATTAACAAAGTTTTACTTAAAAAGAGCTATACTGACACATTCATTGCCAGGCATTTAATTGTTAATTTAAATATGCAGGCCAGGGATGTAAGGCTGAAATTAGACTAATAGAAAAATTTTTGGCTAGAAAAAACAAATTACTTTACTAAATTTATCAATATCAGTCTATAAATTAGTTCATCACAGTTCGTATTATGAACCGTGAAGTTTTTCTGGAAGGGGAGAAGAGGTTTAATATCTTGAATGCTGAGTGCAAAACTTCTGTAATCATGTGAGATTTGATAGCATCTTCTGGAATGTGACATCATGTAATCTTATAGGTGTTAACCAAACTTTTTAAAGAATGGCCTGTCTCCATCAGGCTAGAAATTTCCTTTGCACCGAAGACAGATGCAGAATGTTCCTCTAAAAATCAGTAAACACCCAGCAAAGTACATGGCACCGTCTCCCAGAAGACAGTAATATTTAATTTTTAGTCACATTTAGCATTAGCAGAGCACATTTAGTTGATTGGCAGATGCCATTACTGGCAGTGATTAGATTAGATTTCTGGCAGATTAGATCATTCAATATGAAATGAATCAAAACAGTACGTTTCAGAAGCACCGTTAAGTGAATATAGAATAGCCATGTGAAGCTAATATTCCCAGCTGTCTTCAATCATTCTAACTGAATATAAAAGTGAAGTACAGAAATTTTGGTAAGATTGTAGGTAGTGGGATTGAAGAGGTGGATATGTTTCATATTATGTGTCAGTGGCCATGGGCACTGATGGGGGAAGAGAAGGACAAGCGAATCATCTTCCCTCCTGCAGGATTGTAATGGGGGAAAAAAAAATGAACACCAGAAATTAGAATTATTTTTAAATAAATTTAGTCTTCTATCCTGAATATTCTACTATGATCAATAAGAAATAGCATAATATGTAAAATTATCCTCTTCCCCCTCAAATAAACTAGTCTTTTCCCTTCAGAAAGAAATCCTGGCCATCTCCATGTACATGGTTTGACTATCAACAAATCAAATCAACAAATCCAGTGATTTAAGGCAGCATACTATGTCAGCATCCTATCAAAGACTTGTGAACACTATTTACACAACTGATCATTATCCTTATATTTTCTTGAAGTTTGTCACATATTAGTTTCAGACTGATCACAATACAATTTTGTTTAAATATAGTAACACACAGACATTTAACAATAGGCACTACGATTCTCTTTTCTTTTGTTTCTTAATAAAATCTAAATTATAATAAAATTAACATGTGACTCCCCATATATTTTAACAATTCAAGTTCCACTGTTCACATTATGGAATTTACATTATATTCAAGTTTGTCCATGCACCCATAACTGATGTCAAACACTGTTAATATCTGAATGTGAATTATGGATATATTTATGCCATTACGATTATTATTAGTATTGTTTTCATTACTAGCATTATCAAATTTTATCCTTATCATTTTCATATTTTATGTTTTCTAAATCCCTATTATTTTCAATCCATAAATGATTTTGAAGCATAAGCAACTTACTTTGGATTTATATGCCTTATACATGGACAAACTTATTTTTTGACAATGAAACATACAGAATATATTACAAACCCATTCCATTATCTCTAAAAGGAATAACATGTTTAACATTAATGAAATGAATAATTACATGCCAACATGTAACAAGGGAACAAAAAAAAATGTGGTTTCATTTGAAATTGCTTGTAAACACTTATCTACAGATAAAAGTTGGATTCAGATAATGTATAACATCCTCTGATCCTGCAGATCATGTGCCCTAGTCTTAGAAGCCAGTAGCAATGACACAAAATTTAACAAGATTCCTTGTCTTATCACACCTAATAATACAGTATGATCAACCCAGAGCTTCCTGCAGCAGAATCAGCAAACCTATGGCCTAACAAACTGCAAACAAAACTTATTAAGATTGCTGCAGATGTTGGAAATGCTCCCTCTTGTTCTTGTTGTCTTTGCTGCTGTTGTTTTCATCACTGTCGCTGCTGTAGTCAAGAGAATGCTCAAGCCTACCATAATTTAATCATGGGGGCAGGAACCCAATCTAAATGTTAAGTGCTTGCTGAAAAGTAATTTGATGAAAATGGTGACAGGCTTGTACATCTTTTTTGAAATTCCTGAGATATCTTGTGCAGGAGAATGTGGTTTCACATTCAAAATTTACTATATCTCCAAAAAATAACTTCAATGTGTGAATGCAAACCTTTTATGGAGGTGACTGGAATGCATGCATAAAGATGGAGAATATATCTAGAATCTGCTGTACTCTTTATTTGTAGTTTGTTATGCTACAGGTTTGTTGATTTTGCTAGCAGTCCATACCACCACTGCACAACTAGAGAGTAGGAGTCTCAGACACTTCTGCCAGAGATAGTAATGATCTGTGGGAAGCTCCATGACAATCACACGCTTTAAGAGTATCACAGCTCAATATTTTAAAGAAAGCTGTTTAACCACAATAGAAATTATAGTTACTCATAAATTTATCTGCCTCCCCATCATTTCCAAAACTATATTATTATTATGTTAAGTACTGTCATAGGTTTATTTACAATCAAAATTTCAGATAATATGCTCTAGTACAAGTGTTAATTTATTATAAAAAAACAACTGTGCTGCAAGTTGGTAGAAATGATATGGCTGAAAATTAAATTCTCATTGATTTTAGAGCTAAGCTAACAACACATTAGAAATTAAACATTTAAATAATCTTATTTTGGAGTGCCATTATATATTTACAGCAGCAGGCTTCCACAGCCAGTCATACTGACAGCTCTGAAGGGCAAATCAAAATGTCAAAAAAGTCTGAAATAAGATATGGCAAGAGAGAACCTGTGCTGTAAGGCAACAAATCTATACAGATGACCCCTGCACTTACACACTAATTGATTCCTGAAAGCTGTCTTATGTTGAGTTATCATAAGTCAAACTCATATTTCCCATAAGTGCTATGTTATAAATTACAGTTCCATTCCTGGAAACCCTTAACTTACTATAAAATTAATAAAATAGACTAGAAGATGGAAGAACGCTAATAAAACACTAATTACATGCCTTTACAGACATTTAGTAATAACTGAAAACACGCATTCACTAAAAAAATAAAATATATTTTAAAAATTCATATAGTAAGGGTTCAATTCTTTCCTGTTATATAAATTGTTCTCTGCAAAGAGGGAATGTTATCAGACGAAAGCGAAAGGGGGTGGCACTGCTTCTGCAGCAAAGTTGGTAGATCTTTTGCTGCTTTGAATCCCAGCATAAACTTCCTTCACTGTGTAAGCTCTCAATGGCATTTTCTGTCAATGATGGCTTATTTTGTCAGCACGGAAAAACGCGGTGAAAGCAAGAGTCTTATTTTCGATAATTTCTGCTAAATGGTGCAAAATATCCTTCACTGTTTCCATGTTAGCACTGGCTGCTTGTCCTTGGACTCAAGTGTTATGTCAGTCAACCTTCTTCTAAAAGTGGTGAAACCAGCCATTGCTAGTGATGAAAATCTCATAGTTGGATATGTCATCATCTTTATCCTTAAGCAATTGAAAGGGGGATCTTAGCCTTTGACAAAATCATTGCGTGATTGACAGGCTAATGCAGTCACTGTGTCTGATAATCACATATTAAACAGCTTTTTTGATCTATGGTATGAAGCCTTCATATTTTCTCATCAGTGTTGCTTACATTGGCCTTTTATTTTCACTTCCTTTAAGTGCTCAGCCTGGTCCAGGAAATTGTACTCACAGGCAACTGAGCCAGCTCAAATTAATTAGTCACTTAATGCCTGAACTATAAAGTCTCAAAGCTTCATGTTTAATTTTTGAAGTAAAGGCTTCTTGCTTGGTTTTGTACTGTGTGTATTACTTCTCCTTTTATTAGTCACTGAGACCAACAAAACATGCCACTAAAGGCACAGCAATACAACAACTAAAACGTAAAGTAAAGAGTGTTAAGATGAAAAAATACGTTGTTCAAGCAGCAGCAACAGGCCAAACGGTCTGACAGATGCAGCATGCTTTAGTCTTGAGGTGATAAGTGGAATTCATTGTGTGCAGTTGTAAATACAAGCCATGAATGTTAGTTGGGGAATTTTCAGCATAAATCTGACATGAAAAGTGGTCATAAATGCAGGGGGTGTCAGGTCATCATAGGTCAGCGATCACCTTTCAATGTCTTGCTTGAAATTTACTCCGTATAATATGGCAGAATCTGTATATGCTGGTTTTCATAAAAATCCAGCCAATGACTTATGATACTGTCTGTAACTACACTATATAACTTAAAATGGTAGGATGATACATGGATAATGAAGTGGAAAGGACTTAAAAGGAGGTAAAAATGGCCTCAATCAAGATATAAGCATAGTATTTTCCAGTAAGGACTAAGAAAAACCATGAAAAAACAGCCAGCACAGTCAATGTCACAACCAAGTTTTGAACCAAGGACCTCCTGAATACAGAATGCTAACACTATGCCAATTCATCCAGCTCCAACCAATGATATGCACTTACTCCACAGTAATTTTCTGTACACAGAAATCTATAATAATTACCTCAATAAATGAACAAATGAGAGCAGTCTCATCAATACAGGCAGACATCTGAAGCACCAGAAATACTGTGCTTTGTAATATCTGCAACAGGTACTATAGGCATCATACTGAAAAAGATGATAATGATGATGATATAAACACAGCCAATTAAAAACAACAAAAATGGCACAGATTAAAAATAGCCTACAGTAGTTGCCTACATGGCATCAAATGATAGATTGATTAATGAATACTGAATTGGGAAGGAAGCAGTCACAGCCTAATTTTAAGTAATATCCTGGCATTTACCCAGAGAGACTGAAGAAAAGCACAAGAAACCTCAGTTAGGACAGCCAGTGCCAGATGAGGTACGAACTGCTGAAAAATTACAAGTCAAAAGCTTTACCACTTCAGCCAGCTGGCTCTTTGGTAGGTAATCATAATTTAGATCCTTGCAAAATATATTTACATACTTTACGTCAGAAAAAAAAGCATGCAGAATGAACAGTTAGTGTGCATATGCACTGTAACGCATATCAAGAATATGTCTACAGGAAGAGAGTCTTATTTCACACACTGAATCCCAGCTTAACTGATTCTTGCCACATAGAAGCATCTGTATACAGTGATACAAACTGTGTGGGCATCATGAATCTAGCTCTAGTAACAAGTTGGTATAATGAGCACAATACTGTGATGTAGGATTACTGTCATTACACGTACGCACACACATTCATACTTGCATGGATGTGACTGCCAGAGCCGGGAATACAAAGTCTGCTGGTGCTGAATGCAACATAAACAACTTCAGTAATAAGTACAACAAATGAAATAACTTAAGGTACTGTGCTCTGATTGTCTGTTTGTAACACATTTGGTTACAGCAACTGAACAATCACCTCCATACTAACAGAAGTATTACTATTTTCATTTTTGTCAATGTGGATGTTCCTTTAAGGAAGATTTCTGTGGCAAACCATTATATAAATTAAGAAATGAATAAATGAGCAGAAGCTGCTTCCATGTTCCATATTGCAGGCAGTAATTCAAGGAACACATACAGCTGCAGTTTTGGTAAGAAAGTTCATAATTGGCCCCTAATTTCAGTGACTAATGAAAACTGTTGCAAGCACCATTCAGATAAAATGACTGGATACAAATACTGGGGAAGCTATGAACTGTAAATAAAAAACATGGAATACAATGCATATAAATACAAACAGCCTTGAAACACACAGACATCAGGATGTTTTCTAGTTAGAATTAAAAGTTCACACATTCACAGCTTTCCACTTTTACTTTCCACACATGATAACACTACTTTCACTGCTAGTCTCCAGCATCTGTAGAATTAGGTGATTTCAGAGTTGTGGAACAATATTTAATAATAAAGAACTAGACAGCATTAGGATTAAGTGCTCAACCATAAAGTTTAAAAATAGCCCTAATTCATTAGTTCTTAATATGATGAGAACTTGATAAAAGAAGTGAAACAAATAGAGATCTTGTTTGAACAAGGACTATAAATACCATGGCATGAAATACACTTTCTTTATCTTGTTAATCGTTTCCTCCTGATGGACAAAACAGTCCCATTGTGGAGAACAGTATGCTCTGCACACTATGGATGCAACTGGTGAACCAGGAATAAAGAATGTTTCAATGATAATTTTCTGTTTTGGGAAATTTCAGAAGATGAAAGAAAAAATATAAGGAATTAATTTCTTAGATACAAACAGAATTTTGAAAGCAAAGAAAATTATATTTACATATGCATAGATGAATTTCCATAGATGTTTAATTTCTGGCAAACAGAAGAATAACAATTAACACCATTCCACTGACTTACTTTTCTTCATAAGCAATAAAAGGGCTGACTTCTCAGTGACTGGAGAGTTGCAGGCTCAGTTAAGCTGATAGAAGTTGAATGTAATTAGAGGCAGAATCAAATTTTTCATAAATATTGTGACCAACAAACTACCATCAATGACCCTTGTCATTTCTAATCCTGATTTCCTTGCTTGTCAGCAGGAGCTAACTGCCAGCATTTTAAGTCAAGATATTCTACCTATAGCTCATGGAAAGCCAGCATAATTAGTCACTCTCTGGGCTGCTGTCATCTTAACAAACTCACAGTTGAACAAAATACAGAACATGTTGGATTTCAGGTTCCCATGGCAATGACTATGAAGAATGTGGTCTTCTGGAGGAAATCCAATACTTCATAGGATCATATTGCCTCCATCTTCATGGTCAAAGAGTAACCAAAATAAGAAACCATCCGAAGCAGGTAGAAAGCTGTGTGGTTTGTCTCCAGCTACACATTGTTACATTATAGAAGACCATACTCTTCGCACATAGAACAGTCTTTTACTCTGGTTGTGTTTCTCNGAGGCAGAATCAAATTTTTCATAAATATTGTGACCAACAAACTACCATCAATGACCCTTGTCATTTCTAATCCTGATTTCCTTGCTTGTCAGCAGGAGCTAACTGCCAGCATTTTAAGTCAAGATATTCTACCTATAGCTCATGGAAAGCCAGCATAATTAGTCACTCTCTGGGCTGCTGTCATCTTAACAAACTCACAGTTGAACAAAATACAGAACATGTTGGATTTCAGGTTCCCATGGCAATGACTATGAAGAATGTGGTCTTCTGGAGGAAATCCAATACTTCATAGGATCATATTGCCTCCATCTTCATGGTCAAAGAGTAACCAAAATAAGAAACCATCCGAAGCAGGTAGAAAGCTGTGTGGTTTGTCTCCAACTACACATTGTTACATTATAGAAGACCATACTCTTTGCACATAGAACAGTCTTCTATCATATCTGTGGGTTACTCTGGTTGTGTTTCTCCTTCAGTTATATGTTCTTACTAATAACTCTAGAAGTATTAATCATACATAGCAGTTACTCAGATGTTTGCTACTAATTACTTTACAAGAAACATTAATAAATTACACAGTAGTCCCTATTTAAGAATACCCCTTTGTATGCATAAACTGTTTGCTTGTATGCTAACTGGCACATACTAGCTCAAAGAAAGCATGACTTTTATCTAAGTATGAAATATAAAATGAAACCCGGCAAAGCTTCCCAAAAGAAAAGTGCAAACTTCTTCAAGATACAACAAAGCAAGAACCTGAGTGCTCTCTATTGGGAAGCAAGAAGCAAATTCAGCCATTTGAAACCAACCAACCATTTTACATTTATTTGCATTTTCTAACATTTTCTAATTAATACAGCAGGTTTGAATTAGATGAAATATAAANACACACACACCCTCTTCTAGAATAATAGAGCTACCTAATGTGACCTTAATCTTTACTCCTAGTCTTTCCTTTTTAGTTATATATGTACACTGTAATTTCTTAATATGACTGTTATTCCTTGGGATTACTGGCTTTTGGACTTTGTCCATCATCCTCTATACCTGACATCATCCTCAGAACCCTATGGGACTTAGTGAGCCAAACTGTTTTAAGAAGTGTGTATCTTGCAAAATTTGAGTCCGTGTTGAAGTACGGTATTATTTTTGGGGTGGGGTGCAAAAGGACTCTGAAACTCTATTTAAACTGCAGAAAAAGTGTGTAAGGGTGGTAAAAGGTGTTAAAAATAGAGTTTCCTGTAGAAATTTGTTTTGTGAATTAAAGAATTTAACTGTTACTTCCTTATATATTTCTGAGATCCTTTGTTTTGTAATAAAAAATAAGATTTATACCACCCAGTATTCTGATGTTCAGGGCTATAACACTATTCATACACACAATTTGTATGTATAATTTTGTAATACTGAGCATAGCAAGAGAGGGGTGATTAGTATGGGAACCAAAATATTTAATGGCCTTCCAACTGAATTAAAGACTGTAATAAATGTTAATGTTTTTAAGAAGAAACTTAAGAATTACTTGTTGTGAATGTCTTCTATTCTCTTCAAGAATTTTTTAATAATTGTTGACTGCTTGTTGATAAATCTTTCTGTCTATTTTTATGTCCTTTTTTGGAGCATATACTATTATTAATAATTGTTGACACAGACTGCTTGTTAATAAATCTGTCCATATGTTTAAAATATTTATTCTTATGTCTCTTTTGGAATATTTATTATTCTTAAATTAGGTTAAAAAAGTACTTTGAAACATATTACTATATTATAGTGATAAATTGCTGTGTGAATATTATGTTATTTTTGATGTGAAGTTATTATTTGACATTTCCAATTGAAATATTATACAGCTATGGATGAAATAAATAATAATAATAATAAATCTGAATACAAGTCAAATAGACAGTATCTGCAGTCCTCCTTCAGTCTTCAAAGCTTGCTGATGCTGTGTCATGAATGAATAAAGAGATGTTGCTGCATGCATACAAAATGACAAATTCTGGGGCCTGAAATATATCCCAATATCAACATTACAGAAGACCATGTTAAAGCATTTCTTATGGTTGAAGTAATTTAAGCTTTTGGAAGTTCCATTTAACAAGATATCTACTACACGACATGACATCAAAATTCAGTTAAAGTTTGGTTTAAACCTCAGACAGTTTTTTTATATTAATATTGTCATTATATCAACTCTGAAATCACCCACTGTAAGATGAATATAAATTCTATATTACTATAAATTACAAGACATTTTATCTGCTTTATAGTTCCAATGAAATGTATGGAATATTCTAGGCACACCAATATTCGTTTGTGATACCAGTCACCCACCTATGAGAACATGCTCAACAGACTGACAGATGCTCTAATTTCACATTCATAATATCTTGTCTTCTGCATTTAACCGTATTTATTTAAACATAGGATGTTGGGTAAGTGGCTCATAGACACGGTATATATAAATACAACTAGTGGAGTGACAGGGCAGAGGAAAGATATTATTAAATTTCCCTTATATCTTTCTTAAATTCCTCTAGCTCAGTAGTTGTAATGCCTGCCAAGTGCATCTGGGTCTGTTAATGTGACAGATTAATAACGTAATTAATCTGAAAGTTGTATTTTGTGTTATGTGTTTTAAAAAAGTATTCTGATCCTAAAGTAAGTAGAATAATTTTAATAAAAAGATTCAATTCACTTTGATCTGAAGTAATGAACCACTGCACTAGAAGTTTTATATCACAAATGACCTCCTGAATAATAAAGATAATGGTCCATATGACCATAAGAACATAAAATAGTTAACATATTCATAAATGTGAAACAAAATGAAAGGAGGCTACATTTAACAAATTTTTACAAAGATATGAGTTTCTTCAGTTAATGTCCTGTAATGAAAGTATCAGATTCATGAACATTGTTTGGATAGTGTACCAGAGAGTACTGTGTATTGTATAATTACAAATATTTACAATTACAAATGCATGTACTTAGTTGACATGGGTATAAAACAGGCTATGAGATGAAGGGTACAAACCATCCCATAATTCAAGTAAATACGGTGACTGTGAAACGTTACTCCATTCAGATGCTGTGATGGGACACTACTCTGGCTTCAGCCTATGCCACTGGACTATTGTCTGCCGAGGTTTGGTGATCATGTCCTGCCAGTGTTTTGTTTCTGACGCACCAGAGCCATTCTTTCCTGTTGGAGAAACCTTGCATTTTATATAAGCAGGCATATGTATGTAAAGGGAATTTAAACTAGCATGTCATCGACAAAGTAGTGTTGAACGTCTTCTTACATTTATGTCACAAAATATTTTCTAAACATACAAAGTCTTTTAAACAAAGAGACTGAAAAGACCTTTTTTAATGTATTCTTTGTGAATGTGCAATTTTTCTATGATCTTCACTTTCATGTAGTGGCAATGTGAATACTTTCATGCTTCAGTTTTACCCAGCTTGTTGCAAATTCTTTTGAACGAAATTTGAAATCATGCAAATTTATTGCTGACAAAGATATTGAGAATAAAATTATTCATCATTCTGATTGTATTTGATTAAGTAAATGGTACACAATGGCTGCACCACAGCTCAAGTGGTTAGTCGCTGGCTTCCCATCGCGGTAGCCCGGGTTCAATCCTGGGTCTGGTCAAGTGGGATTTGTGGTGGACAAAGGGGTGCTGGGGAGGGTTTTCTCCAAGTACTTCGGTTTCCCCAGACAGTCTTCATTCCACCAAATACTCCATCATCATAATCACCCAAGGCAGGCTACAATAGGCCAATCAGTGGCCACTGTGCCAAGTGGACCCAGTTGGACTCCACCCCCCACTAAGCTAATTAAAAAAAAAGTACACAATACAAAGGATGATCCAGATAAAAGTTGCAGGTCTTGAAAAGATCTATATTTTATGTCAAACCTACAATTTTTTTCAGTCTATTAGTTATGACTTACTGAAATACTGAAAAACCTTGCACCAGAGGAGATGCCATATAGAAAGTAACGTTAATGATGAAAGGGTTAAAACCACATTTTGTTTCAAACTGATTGGGAATGTCAAATTACAGAAATAGTCCTATTAATACTACAGGTGACTCAGTCTCTTAGATTATGGTAAAAAAGAGCTATTCCTGAAACAGGTTGTGGAGGCCCATAGGGTTATATGTGCTGCCGCCCTTTACTCCCAGGAAGGTTCGTGGTACTCAATTCTGTTAGTGATTGCATTGATCCCAGGGGTATAGTGCAGCTGGATGGATTAGGTCAATTGAAAAATCCAATGACCTATTCAGGAATCAAGCCAGCAACCTTCAGGCTTGTAGCATAGTGCCTCAACCAACTATGCTACTGCATGCCCTTTCAGATTATGGTCATATCACTCACCTGCTAACTGAATACGGCCAATGAGCTCATTCCTTCCGATATTATCAAAGTCCATGACCATGACATCAAGGGAACATTCACGAATCTTCTCCCATGGAACATTAAAGCTGAAGGTCTCATTGAAGATAGGGTTCAGTGTGCACTTGAAGATGGGAGTCTTGCGCTTCTCAATGCGCTTATCTCCAAACTGAAGCCACACTTTCACATATGGGTCTGGCAACATTGAGCACAACAGTCAATACATTTCCACTGCAAAACAGCATTTACATACATATTTACATACTCACAGCCAGTGTTAAGAGCTGCTGCTAATGCAACAGTGCTTCCCCAGTCTGTCTGTCAGCCTGTAGCTAGTCGCTATACTGACTGCGCTATCCCAGCTCTTAGTAGTAGTAGTAGTAGTAGTAGTTGTGGTGGTGGTGTTAGTAGTAGTGGTAGTAGTAGTAACACTGCTGTCATTGTCAACACCAAAGAAGATAATTATAGGCAAGTAATGAAAGAGAACAGAATTTAAAAAATAAAGGAATGCTGCAGGGTGCCTATGGGCTGGATGACTTAGGGTGGATTTCAAGTTCTGGTAGGGTCAAGAATTTTCTCTTCTCCATGTCATCCAGACCGGCTTTGGGGTCCATCCAACCACCTATCCAATGGGTACAGGGGGTAGAGTGGTGGGGCGTGAAACTGACCACGCACCTCCAGCTAGTGCGGAGGTCAAGGAAATGTGGATCTACAATATATCCACTCCCTCATAAGCCTTCATGGTGCAGTGCTTAATTAGTTAAGCACAGGGACAACCTTACCTTTACCTTGACATTCACTGCAGGGTGTAGACTTGTTACTAGGTAACGACTGCAAACAAACAGGTTCCAATGGCCACGAATCAACAATCAACATTAGAGGAACTGTTGGAAACAGTGTTTTATACATGGTCCATGCCAAGGGCTAAAGTCATAGAGTAACTCTGACTCTGACTCTTACTCTGGCTCTGAACTGTACTCAACTGAAAGTCAGTTTGTGAAGAGAAGGCTAGGAGATCAGTGTGAAATGGCTACCATCCTGAGAGTGGTACCAGAATAAGCTGGCAGTCAGTTGTAGAGGAGTCCATCAAGAGAAGACTTGGTTGATGCAATTAAAGAATCCCCAGTGTTAGAAGCCGTTACTAGGGAAGGGCTGGTGAAGACACAACAAACTGAAAAGGATTAGAGTGTGCTGTAGTGATTTGTAAAGTGTGGAAATTGGTGATGGCAATATAATTAAGTGTAGTCATGAGACATTTCTTAAAGTGGTCAATAAATCCAATCTCCAACCCAAACCCTGTCTATAGTCACTCTAACATGTGACAATACAGAAAAGCATAACTACTTGTAACATATGAAGAGAACTGAAATATATAAAGTTAAGATGAAAGAGTATTGACCCAGAAAGGTTACAAAGTTATAATTGAGCAATCTACATAAAACAGATTCATTAATAAATATATAATTAAGGTGGAAGTAAAGTTAATGGTTAAATCACTGAAGAAATTTTTTATCAGATAATGGCATGAATATGCCTACATGATTTTAAACTGAATTACTGAGTAAGAACTTCATTTTTAGAAAGTTACCATTACATCATAAGAGACCTACCAGACTTTCCATTGATATCCTTGGCCTTGAGATTCCTTGCTTTGAGGAGTGTTAGTGTGAGGATGCTGTTGCTTGGGTGGTAACACAATGATGTAAGCAGTTCACCACACTTATCTTTTGCTGGTGGCTTCAGGGCCTTCCAGAATGAGGGCTTCTCTGACAAGTCCACCTGAAGATATTGGTGAGATGTAACAAGACAACACTCTACAAGAAACTATTTTGACTTTTTGTGACAGCTGGCTTAAAAATATTAATTGGAGATCACTCCAAGACCCTCTGGAAAAAACAATTAAATGTCTTAAGTGAATGGAACATTCAATAATATTTTCAGACCAAGACTATGTGATATTTGTATTTGTTTCCTGGTTTATGTAAGAATGATATATAACCTGGATAAGTTATATGGTCTCTCAAAGGGTCTGAAAGGGTAAGATCAGGACACAAGCAGTCATTGCATATTTGACCCTTTGAAATCTGAAGTTCATCTAAACAGTGTTTAAAGGTTCAATTACTGTCTCATAGAAAACATGCTGCATCTACAATAAAAACAAAAACAGGTTCATGCGGTTTAGGAAATAATCACCAATTATTCTGAGAAACAGAGGAAACGTTTAAATAAACTCTGTCAGCAAAACACGGAGTTTCTGAATGCTAAAGTCAATGTTGCACATACAATAGTAACTATGGTACCTCATTTTTAAACAAGTATTTATTTGTCTCTGAGTCCAGCTTTCCAAAGCAAAATGTAACAGATAAACTCAAGGATAATGGCTGGATAACAGCTGGTATATGTACATCCTGTAGATGGAAGGAATCCTTGTTCATTCTCTGTCGAAACAATTACAACTACTTGCATGATATTAAGAAGAGTAATAAGAGAAGCTAAAAGGAAATATTATAATCAGTTAATCACATCAGCTGAAAACAAAATAAAATCTACTTGGAACATTATCAACACTGAAACAGGTAGGACTAACAATCGGAATAAAGAATTTCTACCACAGACTTTTAAAAATAATAATAAAAAAATAAATACTGAAGAAGCAGCTCATAGTTTTAATAAATATTTCACAACAAAAACAGAAAATCTTAATATTAAGAAAACTATTATTTACACTGCAATGTCATACTTGCATTCCCATTTCTCAAATGGTATTCCAGATATGAATCTTAATTTACTTGCAGAAGAGGAAATAATTAGTATAATTAGGAAATTAAAATAAAAACACTTTTCAGAGTATAATGGTGTAACAAATAAAATTATAAAACCGTGCAGACAACAAATCAGTAAACCTCTAACTTATGTAGTTAATAAGTCATTAACCATGGGTCTATATCCAGAAAGATTAAAATATGCAATTATTAAGCCAGTATAAAAAAAAAGGAGTAAAGGCTATTATAAGTAACTACAGGCCAATATCTATAGTACCTGGGTTTGCAAAAGTTTTTGAAACAGAAATTTTTAGAAGACTCAATGATCATATCATAAAACATAAAATATTACTTTCAGAGCAGTATAGATTCCAAAAGGGATTATCAATTGAAGATGCAATGTTTAAATCAACCAATGTAATACTTAGAGCTTGGAACTGATAACAGTATGTAACTGGTATATTTTGTGACATAGCCAAGGCCTTTGACTGCGTTAATCATAATCTTCTATTAATGAAACTGCAGTACAATGGAGTGCAGGGTTTAAATCTTACCTCCAATAAGGGAGGCAAAGAGTGGAATTAAATTATATAAATAACAAATATTATTCTAACCGGGAAATTGTTGGATGTGGTGTGCCTCAGGGATCAGTGTTGGGACCCTTACTCTTTAATATATACATAAACGATTTCATCCTTGAAATAAGTAAAATTTCGGAAGTTATTATGTTTGTAGATGACACAAGTATTCTTTGTACAGCTAAAGACTACTATAATTTAAAAACAAAATTGGATGTTGCTTTCAATCATATGTTTATGTGGTTTCAAAGTAATCAATGTGTTAAATCAATGTGTTAAGTATTATGGCTCCAGAGATGGAGGAGGAAACTATTGGAATAACAGGGATACGCAACCCATGGGCCAAATGGTACCAGAGTCTATTAATGCAGCAAAAGCGTAGCTTAAAGCTCCATTAACAAGAAGAAGTACAAATTTTGTGAATTAATTCACCTCTATATTAAATATTACTTTCAGGACAAATCCTCCCCCCCCTCTCACACACACACACACACACACAGTCAGGTGCTTTATCACAAAGGTTATTTCAGATGCATGGTACTCATGCAAGTACATGTAGCTTCTGGTTGGTGTTGGTGAGGTCCCTTGTATATTATTTTTAGACAGAGTCAGTATTCAAAAGGTCTGCTACTAAAGTTCAGAGCCTGATTACAATGAATAAGCTTCCATCTGACTTTCCCCATTCAGCTGTCATGTTGTTTAACAATGCTGTATTGATTTTAACACTGTGACAATGTACAAGGGAGGAAGGCTTGAATGAAAAGCAATGTTTATTATGAGAACACTGAAAGTATATTGTCAGGGTTTCTTTGTTCTCTGTAATACACAAATGAACCAACAAAATATCAAATTTTAGAAATTAAAAACTGATGCTGTATTACAAAATTCATATTCTCAAGAACCATTTTACTGCTTCAGATACACTTGAATCATGTGTGTGTCCATACATACATATAATTAATTATATATATAGGTCTAAATAATAATTAACAAATATCATAGAAATAAATAAACAAGTATATACATAAATAAAAATTAATTAATGAAATATGAAACATCAATAACTAAATAAGTAAAGAAATACAGAAATGAATGAATGAATAAATAATGATAAATAAATAAATAAATAAGACTTAATAAATAAGAAATACCTTTTAACTAGGAAGTGTGCATGCAGAAAGGGGAAAATAGAAACTACTAATTATTTACCATACATAGTTAAATTCCAGAATAACTTATAACAAAAATAAATGTGGTTAAAAATATTTACTTTTTTGCTAAAGATAAAATGAACATAATTGGTTCTCTGGACGTTATTAATCAGTCTGTAACTCTAATAAATATCACAAAGAGAAGTGGTTATTAAACATGCTTCCGATATATTTGAGTGATTACTTCTCCATTTATTTTTCGGAGGGTTCTTTATCATTTTTTATTTCAGAAGATCAATATCTGCTCCCACCAGCTTGGATCCAAGGTTCTGCTGCAGCATTCATATTATTTCTCACAAACTGCTTTCACTATAAATAATATATTTTCAATTGACCTAATCCTTCCAGCCACACTATGGCTCTGGGGACAACTCAGTTTCTAATGGAAGTGAGTACCAGGAAACTTCCTGGGGGTAAAGGGGGCTGGTGCATACGGCTGACCTCACTGCCATCTGTGAGCCGAATGTCTAGTAAATGTGGAAGTCTTGACTTCTCACAAACCCTATGGGCCTCCACAGCCTGTCACAGGGATAGCTTTACCTTTTTTACCTTGCTTTTGATAACCTTTGAGCAGAACAGTACAATCTACTTCTAACTGGAATTGATCACTGAATGACTTCTTACCTTTGTTAGTGTCATAAAATATGTAGGGAATAATTATGTATGAATGTTCATTCAAATTTCAGAAGAGGTAGAGTTTGGGGTACAAGTATTATCTCTTAATGTCAACCCACAATCTAGGGAACAGCTAGTTCTCACAAATAAATGCCTGAATTAACCTGTGGTGGAGTAAATACCACTGTTTTTTTAAATTAATATAGTTATATTTTTATTTCGTTTTCAGATTGGATTATTTGATGAGCACATGGTCGCACATAACTACATGGCAGACAGGTTGATAAAATGAATAAATGATTCAATCAAGATAATCATATTAACATTACAAGAGAACAATACTATTATTAAAATATTTAAAAACCAAAACAGATTCAGGAGTATATCAAAATACCTAAGCAATTTCTTTTCCAATTTTATTTTATATAGCACTCAATTATCATTTATATATTTATTTTGTTTACAAAATATGAAGTAGGTAGTTTAAAACTTACAGTGCTACTACTGGAACGTTTAAATGCTTTGATAATACATCAAAATAACTATGAATTACATGACAAATTTTATTTCACTATTATTCATTCCACAATCTTCTGTGTTGTATTAAAACAAGGAAACATATAGAAAACAGAAAGCTCACCTGACAAAGTGGCAGGAAGACCTCTCCTATAGAGTCATCCCTTGAAAAGCGATCATAGTCAAAGACATGCAGGTGTAGAACTCGACTTTGCAGCTTCTGAATAGGAAATCCTGCAATATTAATTGGAAGATCTGTACTTTTAACTCAAATTTATAAGGACGAATGATATGTAGTCATCATGAATTTGTAATATGTGACATATTTTATATCCAGCCCTACAGGGAGATGATTGGATGCATGAAATGAAAAATAAATGTAAATGTAAATGTAAATACACATAACCACTGTTTCTATTTGTGGTTTACTAAGGTAGGTAGGTGTAATAGATCCATGTCTTTTCTAAATGGCTCTGATGATGGTGTATATCACTCAGGATTACTGAATTTTTGGAACTCTATCCATTGCCTAGAAGTCTAAAGAATACAATGTTTTAGAAACTAGATCTGTTCCCATTCTCTGGTGAAAGAGTGAACCAACGATTACAGCCAACAGAAGAGGTGCCTTCCCTTTTCCAACTAAGGATGGCAACAGATTTGGTTTCCAAAACGTTGTGTTCTTTAGAACACCACTTGATGGGCAAAGTCCAGAAATAGACCCATGTTTTAACAAAGCCACATGGGCCCCAAGGGATTTCAAGAACCTTAAACTGATATGATAAAGTCCCTACAAGAAACAGTTTCTAAATTACAGAATTTTAATGGCACCCAGTGCTTGAAATAAGAGGGCCTATTCCAGAGTGATGACATATATTAGTTGGTTAGTTCATCAGCAGTTTCAAAATCTGCCTGGAGAAGTGAATTCTGTTAAAATTACATGTCACATGTCAGAGTATCAAGAGCAGACTTATACAGTTCAGCACAATCCACTGCAGTGCCAAGGAAGACAATTCGTTCTTTGGGACCACCAAGCTGGAATGGAGGCAACAAGCCAGGCATCCATCCCACGGATCTTTGGAAAATAATCAAAATTGAAGAAAACATGGAAATATAACACTCCATCGCCTCCTGCGGTGACGTAACAGAAGAGCAACTGTGTCAGGCAACCACTGCCGCGGTGATGTAACAAGGGATACTGCGGTTGCTACACAGCAGTAAACAACTCTCAACAGTGTTGCTAGGCAACCTGTAAACATGGCGTCACGCAACTGTGGTACCTATCATGTAACTGTTTTCTGTGTTGTCCATGCCAAGGCTAACTAAGGAGCAGCGAACACTATTCAGTGAGTGAGGATTGAGCCAGTTACTAGAGAGAGTGAGTTACTAGTGAGTAATGATTAACCAGTCAGTTGAATGGTAGCAGTCGCCGAGTTGGGGTGTATCGAGTGAATGGCAGTGACTCCAGCAGGAGAAGTATTTGTGATACTGCCAATAGCAATAATTATGAGATTGTTAATTGTGTGATTGTGAGAGCGAGTGTTCAATAAATTCGCTATATCAAATAAGGCGTGAAGTTACTTGTGCGTTATACACCCAACATGTGACAATATTTCTTCTGACACTGTTACATTTTACAATCATCATTTACACAAGGTAAGAAGTACGGAAGTGAGCATTGCCAAAGACTCATGAACTATCTCATATACACTCCCTTCCATTTTAACATTGGGGACACATGGTAGCATAGTTGAAGCCCTACACCACAAGCTAGAAGGTCCCGGGTTCAATTCCCGATGCAGTCATTGGATTTTTCAATTGTCCTAATCCTTTCAGCAGCACTATGGCCCTGGGGTCGACTCAGCCTCTAATATAAATGAGTACAGGAATCTTCCTGGAAGTAGATGGTGGGTGGCACATAAGGCTGACAAACTCAGCGCCATCTGTGAGCCGTTTGTCTACAAAATGTGGGAGCCTCAACATCTCACAACCCTATGGGCCTCCACGGCCTGTTACAAGGATAGCTTTAACTTTTTACGAGCACTGATATTGATGATAATGATGACAGAATGAATTTAAGGTGATAGTAAACGGTATATGAAATTAACTTCGAAGTGGCCTGACAGGATTAGCTGTAGACCTACTGAAACACATCTTCTATTTTCTTGGATCCATCCTGAATATTTGAATATCAACTGAGGAGTGGGTTGTCCTGAGATGATATGCAGTGTTCAGCAGTGCCTCCTAGCAAATCGTGTATAGCATGCTGAAATATGTCAAAAGCACCTGACTGAATATTTTGATCATTCTCATATTTCATCAAAAGTGAAATACCCTGTAGACTGATTCTATGATGCACATGGTAAACCCAAAATTCATATGGAATTTTGGTTAGAAGGCTTCATGAAATAAACAACTTAGGAGACTTAAGTGTAAATAGTGGGATAATATTAAAACAAACCGCAAAGAAAAATGTCTTAGAGCAGTGTAGGTCAGTCACAGAGTGACAAGACAACTGAGGAATCAGGTTTCGATTTCCCATAGGGAATAAAGTTTTTTTTTCTTCATAGCATTAGAGAATAGTGTTGGCATTTGCCCAGCCTTCTGTTCAATTCTGCATTGGGGGTAAGGCAGCCGAAGCGTGAAGCTGAATTATAGCTCCCATGTGCTTTCTTATGGTGTAACAATTAAGCATAGGGACAACTTTATCTTGCGTTACTGAAAATTAAATGTTTACAGGAAAGGCAGTGCCTAGGTGCGTCCTTAAGTAACCTAAGAACAAGTCAAACATTCATTTCCAAGATAAGCGGCTTGAGAAAATGTACAAATAAGATTAAAATGTTGTACCAGTCTGAGCTGTAAAACAAGCAAGCGTTATTTCAAAATGAATGATTTTCTGAATTGGAAACAGAGATGAAAAATGCTCGCCACTCTTTTATCTCATCCTTCACTGGTCATCTGTTCAAAGCTTGAGGCTTTGTCAATAGTAATTTACCTATGGTGCAGAATGAAACCTTTGGTTTTTGTGGGAAGGCACGTATTTTACTTTACTCAAAGAAATAGTCGCGAGAGTGGTTTCCTTCATATCCCAAGTACTTTGCTTGGTATCAGCCATGTGTCAATGGTGTGTTTGCAGAGCTGCATTCAGTTCCTAATTACTGTTCCTTTGGGCTAGATGTGGGTGCGGTCTCTGGCTCAATTCTACTTTTTAATGAATTAATTTCACAAACTGTGCAACAGTTGGATCTGAATTCATGTTCAATATCTGCCGAGTTCTCTCGAAACTGAGCACTGACTTTCGAGCAATCTATATTTGCATGGAAACGATGGAATCAACTGGGAATGCTTTCATTTAAATGATAACTAGAGGTATTACTGGTTTTAGTAGAAAAACTGGACACTGGACTGAATATGGTATATGGGTTGAAATTAATTATCCCATCAGAAAAGCGACGCCTCATATAAATTTCTATTTCAGCTGAGATGTCCTACTGCAAAGCATGTCTTCAGGGGCCAGAACTTTATTTTTATTCTCACTCATGGAGCTGAGCCCTTCGTGAGAAGCCGCCAATTGTGCGACTACTCAAGAACTTCCCAGCATTTTATGGAACCCGGAGGTTCATTACCATGTTCACAAGAGCACTCCACTGGTCCCTATTTCAGCCAGATATATCCGATCGATACCATCCCATCCTATCTCTCTAAGATACAATCTAATATTGTCCACCCACCTATATCTTGGTCTTCCCAGCGGTCTCTTTCTTTCTGTCTTTCCCAACAATATTCCATATGAAGAATTCGTCTTCTCCCCCATTCTTGTTACATGCCCTGCCAATCTCATCCTCCTTGACTTGATCATTCTAATTATACTTGGAGAAGAGTACAAGTTATGAAGCTCCTCATTGTGCAGTTTTCTCCAACCTCCTGTCACTTCATCTCTCTTCAGTCCAAATATTTTCCTCAGCACCCTGTTCTCAAACACCCTCAGTCTACTATGTTCTTCAATATCAGAGACCAAGCATCACACCCATACAGAACCACAGGCAAAAAAATGTTTCGTATATTCTAATTTTTATGTTTTTAGACAGCAGATGAGAAGACAAAAGATTCTGGACTGCATGGTAGCAAGCATTACCCGAGTTCGATCTCCTCTTAATTTCCTTCTGAATCAGGTTTTGATCTATTTATAATGGTTTCCAAATATATGAACTGTGCCACATTTTCAAAGGATTTGTTAACAATCTTTATGTCCTGATTTTGCCCTGCATTTTGGTGACGAGACAGCAACATGTACTTAGCTGTCTCCGTGTTTACTTCTAGACCAACCTCCTTCCTAGTGTCATTAAAGTCTGTGTGTTTTTCTTTATGGTATCTGTGTTATTACTCAGTAGATTCACATAATCAGCATAGACCAACAACTGATGTGTCCCAATTTATTTCACTTCTCCTGGTTTCCTGGACCTTCCTAATGACACATTCTAAACCAAAGTTGGAAAGCAGTGGCTTTAAAGCATCTCCTTGTTTTAAACCATTCTGGATATGAAAATCATCAGACAAATATTTACCTATACAGACTTTACCATATGTTTCGTTTGTCATCATGGGTAGAATTCTGGTTGCTCCCATCATATCAAACCGTTCAGTCATTGACTGTTAAAATTGGTCAAGCTGTGACTCACAAAAATGTATCTCTGTTGTTTAGTGGTGACCCAGAAAATGACCATTAATATGTTCCTAGAAGACAACCGTAGAACTGTTCCTGTGCTTAATCAATTAAGACACAACAAACACATATGGGGGAGTGGAGGTATAACTCTACCCTTAATGAATTCGGCACTAGATGGAGGTGAGTGCTCAGCTTCACGGCCTGGCCGCTTTACCCCGGGGGAAAGAGTCTGTGATACCCACTGGTTAGGAACAGAGCGCAATCCAGAACCGAGCTGGATGTTGGGGGGACAGAGAAATCTCTTGGCCTACCTGAAAAGAACTCCGATTGCTCGATCGTTTAGCCTGTAGTGTAGTTGCTATACCATCTCAGCTACCCAGGCTCCAGAATATAACATATGTGTGGACGAGAATTAGCCTCAATTGTCGAAACTGTATCTGTTCATGAGGAAATCAAGCCTTAATGCTCGTATATTGTGTTGGCACAAAGAGAAAGTCTACCTTCAAAGTAGAATGTCTCATTCCAGCGCGGATTTAGTGTGCGTCGCTTAATCTTGGTCTCGAGGCGATGCTTCTTGTCCGGGAGTAGTGTCACCCGGACGTATGGGTCTGATGTCCCAGAGATGTCCTTTGCCGGCAGCTCTTTCGCCTGCAAAACAATCAAAGCTGATAAGTTCGGCCACCTGATCCCACTACAGACAAAATAACGCCCTGCCCAACGCACCCTTAAACTATTTCCCCGTCTTTTTCCTAGACCACCGAAACCGCCCCTTTTCAGGGCCATCCCATATTCCTGTCCTTGTCTCCTATTGGTTCGCTCGGGTGTCCTGTGAGAGCCCAACGATTTCATTCTGTCCCACGGGCGAGCCAATGGGAACAGAGTTAAACTCTTCCAGTTTCTTCCTGCTTCTTGTATAATCCGAAATTTTCGACCAGCCTATTAGCTTACTATATAAGTTATCTAAATTATAACTTTCGACAAGTTTGATCAAACTTATTAACTCCTTTCTTTCGCATAGAAGAATTCAGTGTTTCGGTGGAAGTCGAAATATCTATGCCAAATGAAACGCAAGCAGGGATGCCTCAAGTTATCGCCCTGTTCCCTACACTGTTTAGTATGTACATAAATAATTTCATCGAAACACCTGGTGTTCATTTATCCATTTTTTCCGACGACGCCTCTCTCTATGCAACAGATCGTAAGGAGTTTTTTGTTGTCTGAAAACTCCACCGGGGTCTCAGCTAAATGGAGACCGGCGTGAGCTCTGGAACATTAAAATAAATGAGGAAAATACCCAGGGGACCTACTTCTCCCGTACACGTCGACGACCTCAGTCCCATCTTACACTGAATGGACGAAATATTCCATTTGTAAATAGCGTAAAATATCTTGGCGTAATCTTCGACAAGAAAACTACATGGAGATTGGACATAGAAATGATCGAAACTGAGGCCCTCAGAACATTATTAGAATATATTTCCTATTCAAAAGTGAGCGATAAAGCGCTAACATTAAACTGACCCTCCACAAAGCACTCATTAGAACATAATGACTTATGCTTGCTCCGCCGGGGAGTTTGCTGCAGGTACCCGTCTAATGAAATTGCAGCGCCTGCAAAATAAAGTACTCCGCACCACCGTCAATTTTCCAAGGTGTACACCTTTCAAACTTCCGTACACATATGATTATATAACAAAATTATGCAGGCAACGAGCAGAAGTCATATAAAATCATGAAAATGCAATGTTCGCAATACTAAACAAAGAGAAGCCCGACATAGAAAATATAAGAGGCTCAACCCTTGCTGCGATCAAGCATACGACCGTTAAAGTGACTAAACTGCCGTTGTAGAGTGAGTTACTGAGGGTAGGGCATGAGTTGCTGTACTGGGCCTGGAATGACAGAGACCTTGTATATATTGTGTATATATACATATATGTAATAACATGTAAACTGTAAATGTTGTGTACGTACTAACAATTGTCTTGTTAGTGCCGTGACTCTGACAAATGACAGACCCGGCCTCTCGTTAGATAGGGCACCTCGACATGGTCAAAACCATAACTGTCTAACAGTAATTAATATCTGGTCATGTGCCCCAGATGGGGCGCGACACCAAGCCAGACTGACCGACCGAGAGTCGGTAGTAACGCGACTTAGACACGACAGCCGATTAGTCTGCTTGCTACCTGCTTTGATGCTGGCATCTTGCTCGGCTTATTCTAACCTGAACATGGAGGCGATATATTCCTCTTAATATCTGATTTTCAACGGACTATACGGCGTTATAGCCCAAAAGATAGTACTCTTCATGACCACCGCTGTGAGAACCTCAAATCCTACAATTAAGTAATAGGTTCAATATAATCATTTCCTCCAGCCGAGCACATAATCCCCGGATCTGACGTACGTCAGCTTATGTCTTGCAGCGAATGTAATGGTCATTGTCCTCAGAAAGCTTCCGGTCCGCCCACATTCAAGAATATCTAAATAGGCATAGAGGATGATACCGCACAAGAGGTGCTGATTAATTCTGAAGCCAGGACAAGCATAGTGCCTCAGTCAATGCATTTACTGTTACCTTCCTTCCAATCTCAACCCTCCCAAATATCATGCACTCGCATTTCACGTTACGACGGAGATCAGTAATTACGTCACCAATTGAAGTAAACCAGCTGTAATGGACATACTATGTTCTCTGTATGTATCACTAGGTAGCAGCACATTCCAGCTTCATGGCAATCTAAGTAGCAGGTATGTATGTGCATGCTCAGAGGCTGGTTTCACTAGTCAAAATGGCAATTGGGCTTCAGTGTGTGCTACTGAAGAGCAGCTTTCAGTTATGCGTTTTCCTTTTATGGGCAAAGGGAATCAATGCAAAGAATATTTGGACAAAAATGTTCAACTTTCGCAAGTCTCAGATGATGTCCGACCGGGTGCGGACTTGGCTGAGACAACAGTCACAACACTTCTACACTGCGGGTTTCGACGCGCCGGTAAAGCAACAGTACAAGTGTATTAGCGTTGGTGGAGGATATGTCGAGAAATATTTTTTTGTAAGATTTGAGGTTTTCACGGCGGTGACTATGAAGAAAGCAGTCTTCTGGGATTTGGCACCGTGTATATGTGGTGTTAACCGATGTTTCGGAGGAACTGAGTCTGCTTTTAACTGGTTCTCACGGTCTCTTCGCTTGCGGATTTCTTATATTTTTCCTTCTACCCTGAAGATGGAGGCGATACGTTCCTCCGAAACGTCGGTTAACACAATATATACACGGTGCCAAATCCCAGAAGACTGCTTTCTTCAAATATTTTTTTCTAGGTTCAAATATCATATGTTTTATATCCATTTGTGAACTATTTAATGACTCTTTCTCGTATAAGTTATTAGTAGCTAAAACAGCGCCTGAATATAATCTAATATATGAAGAAGCCTTGGAATTCTCACAGAAGAATTATCGTCTTCCTTCTGTGGTTTCCAAATGGACGTCACTTTATATTCGTAGTGAGTATGGGCAAAGAAGTAAAGGCGACGCCTGGAGGAACCCTCTTCTATCGATAAATGCTGTGCTGTATAAAATTTAATTACCAAACCGGCGCTTCTGCTTCGCTCCAACCTTTCGTCTGAATGATTTCATTTCCGACATTCTGCTCAGTTCGGAGAGAGAAGGATACAGCTACTGAACAGAGAATACCTTGAATGTGGACCTAAACTTACTTGTTAGAACAAAAGATTGTACAATCTAGAGCGTAATCTTGCTCGCTGTGGGCTTCATGTATAGCCCGGAAACGATGACAAGAAATTTCTGCAAAATATTTGATGGTAAACCTCTTGGAAAACGAGTAACTCAGATGATAAAGGCGGATATTAAAGGATAACATTAAAACGGATCTTAAGGAGGCAGACTGTGAGGATGTAACGTGGATGGAACCGGCTTAGGGCCGTGTCTTCCGGTATTAGTCTTTCTCGCTCTTCGGGTTTTATTGCCAGAGAATTACTTGTTCCACAGTAAGGAGCGTTCTTGTTTAGAAACCCTTCAGTGGGCCTATATTTGAAGCAAAATTCGTATCTATTAATGAAAGTCATATGTTTTACGTGAATTTCTATGCGTAAGTGCACATCTATACAAGGCATCGTTAACTGAATTTCCTTCAGTTTCTTATCGATCATATATACGTTACATCTCACGTAAAGTTCAAATCGAATTTCACGGATTTCTTCACCTATTAGCTAATCCGGCCCGGAGGACCCCCCCTCGTTGGTGTCTCCACCTTATCGTGGTGAGGGGGTTTGAGTATGCCAAGGACCCTGAGAGCTATACCAGCGGTAGCGTAGCTACTGGCAGGGCCTCCCTTGCTGGACAGGTCAAAGGGTAGGCATCAGACGAAGAGAGACACCAAAAACCAAAAACTGATGCCGGAAGCAGCGTCATCAGCAGCGACTTGAAGCACAGAGCAAATGATGCTCGAGATGGTTCAAGTTCGTATAGCAACAGGCGTGACCAGAGTGGTTTGAACGGCTGTTGTACTGCGATGTGGAAAGCAAATGGAAAAACTACCACATTATCACTTTTCCTGGATAGTCTCTTTCCAAAAACAGAAGATCGCATTAAGTGGAGGAACTGTTTTGGAAGAGACTGTGGACCTGTCGTCTGACAGATTACTGATGAATGAATGAATATGACACAACCGAGGAGTTGCGGCCCGAACTCATAATATAGTTTGTGTAGATTTTCATATTCTAGGGCATAATGCTGTGTGTTCCGACAAAAGTCAACTCAGGTTTCGGAATAAAGTATGGTCTCCATCTTCAGGACCGAAGAATAAGCCAAACAAGAAACTACCATAGAACAAGCGTCAAGCACAGCAAGGCTCTGCAATATCCTTAACGTTTACCGGACAAGACGGAGTCATATCCAAGAAGAACTCTCCAATGTCACAGCTGAGAACCTAAATTCCGCCATTAAACCAACGTTTCCATTCTACAGGCAAATCCTGTGTTCTGAATCTCATATTTGGACAACTGACATTAAATTTACAACGAACTATAACCTGAAATTCTGAGGACAGGTTAGTATTCTGGTTTCACACTGCGTAGTCATAGAACCGAATCCTAGTAGTCAGGACTTACATACTGTTATAACTGTTGTTCTTACTTGTGCCAGATCACCATATTTCTTTTATGGATGTATTGTGTTAGCAGAAGGGCACGCGGTAGCGTAGTTTGTTGAGGTACTATGCTACAAGCCGGAAGGTCGCGGGTGCAATTCCCGATGAGGTCATTGAATTTTTTCAATTGATCTAATCCTTCCAGCCGCACTATGGCCCTAGGGTCGACTCAGCCTTTAACAGAAATGAGTACCAGGAATTAATTAAAAAAATTTCCTGGGGAGTAAAGCGCGGCCGGCGCGTAAGGCTGACAACCTTACCGCCATCTTTGAGCCGATTGTCTAGATAATGTGGAACCCTCAACGTCTCACAACCCTATGGGTCTTCACGGCCTGTTACAGGGATAGCTTTACTTACTATGTAAGCAGGCCTATACATTCTATCAACCTTAAATTTGTAACATATAACCTCAAAATTTCACATCACCAGGGGTGTAATTGTTAAGTTATAAGAAGCATTTCATACGCAATATTTGTGTA